ACTACTTTTTCTCAGCTCTCACTGGACCGATTTCTTTTAACAATACGTCAAAAGATCACAAATTGTATCTAGTTGAAGACATTACCCTTAAAAATTTAAAAATTTTCCCTCGTTCCCCGCAAATGGGGGAAATATCCAAAAAAATTACAAATTTAAAAATCGACAAATTTTGTCATTTTTTTCACTTTTTTTTCTTAAAACTTCCATAACTTTTTCAAAAATAAACAAATCAACATAATTTTTTTTATACTAAAATCTTAAATATTTCCCTTTTATTTGATATCATTTTTTTGAAAATTTAACACTTAACATGCTTATTGGGGGGGATTTAAAATAGCAACTTTTTTACAAATCTAACATTTTCAACTTAACTTTTGAAAATGTTCCGGAAATACTGCGTCCTTTAAACATATATCAAATTAAAGCTTATTTTATGTACTATAAAATGAAAAAAAAAAATTGTCCCGACACTTTATCTTCTGCATGTAAACGGCTGCATAGTTAAAAACGGTAGCACAGTGGGGTCGAGGCACTGTGTGGACGAGGCATAGATGGGACAAGTATAGATGATATCTGACAGTGATTAAAATCACTATCATAAGAAACGCTTCGATGCAAATCTGTAGATAGTGTTTCCTTTAGAGAAATTGGTGAAATATTTTAAAAGCAACATGAACTCTTATTTTTTTAATTATATCCTGAATGCTACCGTTTTTTTTACTTATTATTTAATGTAACATAAAAACATCATAACGTTTAAAAAAATTTAACAAGCTATTTATACATTTTAAATTAATGTTGATTTTTATAAAATACCATTGTATCAAAAGTTATGACTTTAACATGGTTAAAAAAATGATTTAAAAATAAACACTTGTGCTATTTCGTATTTTACCCATAATACTGTAATAAAATTTATTTATTTTCGCTATAGATATTATTTTTTATTTTAATTAAATATTTACCATAAACTAATTCTTGTTTGATCAAATCTATAAAAGTAAGACGCATTTCCTTAAAAAAACTTCCATGGGTTTCGTTTGACATTTTTAACATAAATAAATTTCATCAACTAAACTGAATGTTACTATATTTAATAAAAATTCTGTTAAAATAATAATTACTTTTACAACTGAAGATTTTCTAGAAATCACTTTTTAATTGAAAAATGTACATACATATTTTACTGTAAATATTTACTGTAAAATCGTTTATATATGACTATACATCATGATTGTACATTAAGAATGACCCTTTTTCACATTAATTTTCTATTATGCATGAAATCGGCAATTATTATTTTGCGTTTAACCACCTTCTACTAAATTTGAAAGGCAACAAATCATTAATTGATTTTAAGGAAGTGTTTCCAAGCAAATCAAATTTAACTGTTTCATAAATTCATAAAATTATTAATTATTATATTTATAGTAACTCAAAAAAAGAAGAAATATAATAAAATTATTTTTTTCTATATATTAGTGGAAAAAGGAGTTACTATTTATTTTAATAGTAATATTTTCTCGGGTAAGAGTTCGAGGGTTTTTAAGAATAGTGAAAAAGGTAATAAAAAGATAGAGTGATTTTTTTTAGTGATCACTGAATCTTTCTTCGTTTCTATGTTAACCATATACTTAAAAAATATAATATTTTTAAACCTTATTAATTTAATTAATTAGTATCTACCTTGATGTTTCCGTAGGATGTCTAGAGAATGAATTAAGTCGTCTCGTTTATTTTAAATAAATCTGAACGTGTCTGTTCACTTCTTACACATGAATTAAACAATTGAGATTAAAGAGCTGCGTCAATACTGGGAACACGCCTGGATCAATGAGGAATGAGCCATGGGAATATACTGCCCATTTTTAGGCCTTTTTTGTCCCCTTTTATATTGCTGTTTTGTTAATTTTTATAACTATATTCATATGCAAGAATTGTCAGAAACGCTATTTGTTATCTCTTTATTAAATTTTTTAATACATGTTATCTTAAAAACTAATATACTATTCTGGACAATGATTAATTATTTCATTACAAATTGACATATCAGTGACAATCCATATTAACATTTATGTGTATTTTATTATTTACATGAAAGTTTTAATTAATTTAGTTTATCGCTTAACAAATAATATTGATTACATTGCCCATATGTGACAGTATGACAATTATTACTTGACAATAGTTATCATAGTTCATTGCTTAAATAAGAATTGTCATGAGAGGTCAATTTATTATAACATCCACCACAATTTTTTTGAAAGTTGTGTCCTCACAACTAAGGTATACAAGGACAAAAAAAAAAAAAAATTATTATAATAACAATTTTGTAAAAAATAAGTAATTAATAGTATTTATAATTAATAATGATTAATTATTATGGAATTGGATATTAATTATTAGTATATACATTAGTTAAAAGTTCATAATTAAATGCATATTAAGTATATAATGTAAGAAATAATAATACGATAATATATAAGTATGTTAAGTACAAAATAAAATATTTAAAAAAAAATTGTGCCAATAATTTTTTAAAACAGTATAAGAAAATGTAAAAATGTATTATAACATATTAGTGTTATAACAATTAGTTAATGAACAAGACGTGTATATTAAATAAAGCTGTATAGTATTATTTTTCATATCAAAATAATAAGTTAGTACATTCTAGTAATTATAAGATAAGTAAATACTATAATCTTTACTTTATTTATGGAATAGATAGAGTTTTTTTATCTAAAGATGATAAGTATTCCTATCTTTCTAATATACAAGTATTGAGAGTTAATTTTTTAATAGGCTGTAAAATATAAGTAAAATAATAAATATTTCATTCATAATTAAATGTTTAACTTGAAAATTGTTGCGTCTCAAAAATATTTAGTTAATGGACATTTGTAAAACACAATTTATAAAATAATAAATAATAATAATTATTGATCATATTCAGCTATTATTACTTGAAAATCAAAATATACTAATAATAATTATAAAATTAATCAAAATACCGTTAAAGACCGGTCATCAAAAAGATACATATGTCAACTTAATAGTTATTCTTTTTACGGTATACGTTTGATTAGCTAGATAACTTTTTCAGAATAACTAATTTGAATAAACATTGATACAATGTTTAGTGCTTGTTTAATGTGTTAACAAATATTTAAAGTTTTTCATAACATGTAATTGAATAATAAAAAATAATTTTAAGTATTACTTTACACAATTAAGTAAAAATTCATAATTTTGTCTTATAAGTCATCAAATAAAGAAATACAATAAAACTATATATCCTCGAATATTATCATTGATTTATAAACTTATAAATCAATGACATAACAATTATTTCTGGTAATTTTATTATCAAGAAACTTCTAATAGCTAGAATTTTGAAATAAATACAATATATTTCGTGTGTAATTATTACTAACGCCATTTTCATAAAAATTATGAAGTCATTGTACTCCCTCTTGCAAACATAAAGTGTATATAACAATAGATTAAATGAATGTACTTATATTAATATAAGATTCTCTTTTAGTAATTCTAAACCGTAATAAAGAGAGCATTAATTTTTTCATATTGTGTTGTAAATATCATAATTTTACACTATTTCTAACGTCAATTATATAACTATTTGCTCATTATAACAAGGCAAAATATTTTGTACTCGTGTTAATGTTATTTTATTTATTTTGACGATTGTTGAATCGCTTAAACCGAGAATATATAAATGAAACCCCTTGATTTTAGGAGACAATTATTGTTGATTAATAGATATTAATTGATAAATTAATACCTTATTTTGATAACTTACTTGACATTAAACAATATCAACTGTCAACTGTTCAAACATTTTTAAACGATATGTATTTATAATAGTATTTAGTTTATTAAAATTTAATTAAAATTGATTATTTTTAGAACAAGTTATTATAAACGGAAAATTATTTGCATATGTATAGGTAGGCAAAATTATGATAAACATATGTTTAATAAATTATTGACAACTTAAATAACTTTTGATCCAGTTAATATTTTTAGCTAATTTTTTTTTTNTATCACAATAAAATAGATATTTTACATAATACTGAAAACAAGGAATTTGTATTTCAATAATAAATAAATATCATAAAAATCCATATTTTATTATTTTTATTTGGTATAAAATTATGACACAATAATATGAAANTATTTGGTATAAAATTAAGACACAATAATATGAAAAATATAAAACACTTATAAATGTATACAGGGTGGCCCACCACTCACTGACAACTTAAATAACTTTTGATCCAGTTAATATTTTTAGCTAATTTTTTTTTTAAATAATAGTTATACGTTAGGTCTATAGCTATATCTCAATAATTAATTTTTTTACATTTTATTAAAAATATTAATTATTTTTAAATTTTAAATAAAATGTAAAAAAAAAATCTAAGATAGCTATTTTGTAGAATAGAATTTAAGAAAAATTTTATTAAAAAAATATCATATTAATATTCAGTAGTAAATATTCTGTAGCGTTTTGATATTTGTGAAAATTTGAATTTTCATGTATTATTTTATGCTATCTTTTCATGATTGCTATAATTTGGAGGTGTGTATCTTTTTCCATGAAAATGACTTATACTTTTGAATTGCCTTATCTATTTTCTTATCATGGTATTAATGCCAAGTTTGTAATGTATACACATTATCATCATATGTATACACAGTAATCATGAAAAGATAGCGTTTTCTTCTGTCCTTTTCTCAATACGTATTTCAATGTTTATAACCGTAAAATAATACATGAAAATTCAAATTTTCACAAACTTCAAAACGCNTACAGAGCTCGACAAAACAATATATATATTTATTATTGCATTAAATTTTTTAGAACTGGTTTCAAATATTTCATTAGTTTTTATCTAGCACCAATAAGTTTGCCGAAATTTAAGCAATTTTTAGATAACTTTACGTAACAAATATTAACCTATCATTTTGAAATTACTACCTATATATTTTTAGTTATTTGTCCAATAAAATTTTGTATAATTTAACTATAAAAAAAATTGGAAAAAGTTCAGTATTTTTTATTTATTTTAAAACTCAACCTTTAAATATAATATCAAAAGTGTAACCCTATGGATTGTTTCAAAATTTTGCATTAATTTTCAATTAACTAAAAATATATAGAAGGGGTACCCAAGGAACAAATATTTTAGTCACATTTTGTGTAAACACAAATTATACAAATACTTCATCTGTGGCAACATATATTGACTGCAAAGAAAATCTAATGGTAATGGCACTAGTTAATATACAGTAGCAGGGTTTCAAAGGTATTTGAAATAAAAAATAGAAAAATATATATATTAATAAACAATTTTGGCCCATCAGTATTATAAATCCATCATAATTTAAATATTTAATGATAATAATTCAATTATTTTCAGGAACAGTTTTTAATCGATACGTTCTTTTCGTTTATTTTCATTGTACGTTTTTCGGTAGAACATTACAAATAAGTATAAGAAAATTGCAACATCGGCAATAATATACATAACAAATAGCTTAGGAAAGTTGCAATCAAATACGTACAAACAAGTTTGGTATGCTATTAAAAGTAAAAATTGTGTCTGTAACAAAAAAAAAAAAAAATTAATTAAAACTTAATTTACATATACACAAAATCATTCATTAAGATAGAGACACTCATTTTCTTGGTAACCATTGAAAATTTTTAAATTTCGTAAAGGAAAATATTGCTTGATTCATACAACTCTAAAATAAAGGGTAAAAAAATAATATGTATTAAATTTCATTAAAATTGAGTGACGTTTGAGTGCCACAAGAGGGTTTCAAACAAAAATGTTTCATATAAAAATTGTTAAGAATACAATTTTTTATTAGTTTTATTGTGCGTCATTCAAATATTCAAATACTAATGCGTGTATTGTTTTTTTTTTTTGTAATATAGAACAAAGATTACAAAATAATTTGATTAAATTTAAATTAAGTATTTTTACATTATAAAGGATAACAAGTTAATTTTTAAAAATTACTCCACCTGATATTATATTTTAGATTACCAAAAATGTACATAATACACTACACTTTAAAAAAAAGATGGTCCGAGAGTCTTCCTCCCGTTGTGAAAGCGACAACGTCGACCAACCGATCCGCACCCGCGCATCATCGCCTACAACGCTGCTAACCATTTGCCGTCCAAGAATTACGCCGGACATCGCGTCGTCGACACCAGCGAATGTGCCGCGATATTATGCGAGGATTATTATTACTGTGTTAATCTTTTCGGTTTGTTTTATTTTTGTTAACATAATCTGTTGTCGCTCATTTAATAAACGGCCCACGGGTCTCTACCCTCAAAACCAGTGTCGACCACATTTTTGCGACGTAAGTCGTGTCATTACTAAGTATCAGAGAAACAGTTATTTTCTAATAAAAATGTTCACGGCAAACATACAGTTTTATAAATAAAGTTCTATAATTTTTTTAAAAATAGCATAGTTTGTATGATAAGAGACAATAATCGAAAAACCACTCTTTCAGTCAAATGTTCAACCCTCTTGCGGCACGTAGTAACGCAATTTGCACAAATAATTTTTTCATTTGAAATAATTACAGGTAGTGATGTTGATGGTATGGATTGATTTTTTTCCAAAAATAATTAACATCTTAAATCTATTTTTTTCTAACATATTAAGTGGGAATATATACAAATTTTGATAACTTCCAGAAAATTTTGTTTAAAAAATGAGAAAACTCGAGTGTGTGTATATGATAATTAAATACAAAGGAAATTTTTTATAAAATCTCAAAAATTTAACTTTATAAAATAACTTTTTTTTTTCACATTAAATAGAATCTTTTATTAATGCTTACAATTTGTATTCTAGTTAAATATTTTTTCCACCATAAAAATGTTTGTATTTGAGGCCCTAGTGCAGATAAAAAGTAATAACTATACATAATAACATGGACTGTTGCATTTAAAATACCACATAATAGCAACTGTTCTCCTGTAAAAAAAATAATAATAATACATTAAACAAAAAATATATACAATGTGTTCAGTAAGTAAAAAACCGTGTCAATCGTTACAAATAATGAGAACAATAGTAACCCGTTTCTTTACTTATTAAACATTCTATATATATAAAGCTTCTAAAATTAAACTCTCGAGATAAACTTAATCTTATACGCTATTTTTTTTTTTGTAGTGGGGATGGTGAAAAGCCTACACACTCCTGAGCAAAATAATTGAACCTCGGTATCGAAATTTGTTTGTAATCGACCCTATCCGACCCGAATTTAGAGGGTCTTCAAAAAGTAAGGAATCGAAGCAAAAACTCTACATATGTAAAAATTTTAATCCGCTCCAGTCCGGTCTAAATAAAACATAATTAATCAAACTCCGATCAGAACTGATCCATTCAAAGAAATTAACTGTTTATGTATTTTTTTTATATTTCGCACGAATGCACAGGTCCAATATCAATGTTCAATCTTGGCCGATCTGACTAGCCCGACATAAGATATTAAATTAATAATAAAGCCCCATCCTATTTTTAAACCTGGCTAAATGAAGTATAGTATCTACACACTCAAGAACTATGTTGTTTTGAATAAGTTTTAGTCGTTATTCATTTTATATAGTATTAAAAAAAATGTAAAAAGGGTCAATGTCAATGGTTTTATGATTACAATTCTTTTAAGAATATTTGACTTTTAAAATTGGGGAATTTCACACATTTATATAGTACTTACTAAAAAATAAAATAATAATAATTTAACACATATTTTCTCAAATTCAAAAAAAATAATAACTTAAAAAAATGATTTTGGATTATTCCATTATTAGCAATAAAAAATAAAAAGAGTTTTTACTGTATAATTGGAAAATAATCACTTTTATTTAATATACTAGAATCTGAAATTATTTGTAGTCGAATAAGGTAACTAAAAATGTGAATTCTATAATAAATTAACTTTACTACTGTAATAATTATGCTTTGATTAAAAACAAAATTTTAAGTTATAATGGAAATTATTTTTCATTTACCCTAAAATAAATTTGAATTCAATCAGAAAAATTACAATATATTACACGAATGACATATCAACAAAAAAAAAATCACTACTTTTATACCATTAATATTTTATTGGTTGTGTTTCTGGATTCTTTGTAAAACATTAAATTGAAAATGTATATATTTTAGCTGATTGCGGACGGGTAATAAATATTAATTAAATAAATTAGACATAAAACCGTATAAATGAACAAAATAAAATATATTTTATATAAAATAGATAATATGTCAATGTATCATTGTGTGCATTGACAGTATTGTCGATAATATAAAATGTATTTATTTTTTTTTTTTTTTTTTTAGTTTTTAATACAAAGTATTATTATAACTTAACAATTAAATAAAATGAGAAAAGAAAAAATAAATAATAATAATAAAAAAAATAGTACAATTGATCTTACATCAACAAAATTACAATAATATTACAGTAAAAATCATTAAATAAAAAAACCAGTTGAATGAATGAAAGAAATAACTAAAGAAATTACATCGAGAAAAGTTGAGTTAAGAATAGTGTAACAATTAATAGGAGAGATATTAAGATGAGATAAATTATTAAATAAAATAGAGCGAATACTTTCAAATGCACAGCAGTCAAAAATTATATAAGGAAAGTCGCTGAGAACTGCATCGTCATGTTTGGGGCAGAAAGGAAAATTGTTAAGGGACATTTTGTACGCATGAAAAGAAAGGCGATTATGACTAAGTCTTAGTCGAGAAAATGATAATATATGGAACCGGGAGAGAGGAAGTTTATGGAACCAAGGATGATTTGGAATAGTTGGTGAAATTGATTTGTGCCAAGCTGCGATGAGAGAGAAAGGAGAAGACCAATATTCTTGCCATGCTAGAAATATCGTCTTATTAAGGGGTGAAACGAAGTCAGATGAAGGAATATTGAGAGTTGGTAGACGGGTAATGAATTCGGTAAGTTTGGCTAAATGGTCTGCCTCCTCATTATCAAAAATACCCACATGACTAGGACACCATAAAAATTCGATTTTTGTATTAACTAAGAAAAGATTATAAATTAACGCTTTTATTTTAATAATAAGGAAAGATCTGCTTTTTTTGAATGAATTAGAAGAGAGAGAAGAAAGGACTAATAAAGAGTCAGTAATTATTAAAACATTAGAAATATTGAAGTATTGAATAAGCTCAAGGGCCGAAGAAATGGCATTACACTCAGTAGTAAAAAAACAAGATTGTGAAGGGAGAATATCTGAGAATTTAATATTAAGACTAGGAATAAAGAAAGAGAAACCAGCGGAATTAGAGCTTACTGAACCATCAGTAAATATAAGACAATTATTGGAGAAATTAGAGAATAAGAACTCATTGAATAGATTATTAACAAAATTAATAGGGAGAGATTGTAATTGCAGTTTTGAATAAGAAAGTGATGGTTAAAGTGAATAGGTGGGCAATAAATAAGAGCCAGGAAGGAGACATCATAAATTGGCAAGCGATTTAAAGATGTGATTATCATATTAAGGTACGGAGTCAAAATCGAAGAGATTGAAGCAAGTAAAGGAAGAGTTTTGGGAACATAGCGCCAAACTGCGCATAGAGAATGAAAATTATGAAATATCGAGTTGGCAGAATAGGATAACTTTTTAGTAAGAAATTTACAAGCTAGGAGTCGAGAACGAACTTTGATGGGGGGGCAAGCGCATTCCACTTCTAAACTTATATTTGGGGTAAAGTAAACGGCACCTAAGATAGTACGTAAGCAAAAAGTCATGAGGGAATTAAGCTTATTACGGTGCACAGTGGAGGCAGAGGAATATAGAAAAGATCCATAATCTACTCTGGAACGTATAAGATATTTAAATACAAGAAGAAGTGAAGAGGGGTGGGAACCCCACCAAGTCCCTGCTATAGAACGTAACAAGTTAGACCAACGTGATAAACTGGAAATCAAGTATTTAAAATGTGGCATCCATCGAAGTTTTTGGTCAAGCTTAAGGCCAAGGTAATTAACACAATCATAGTAGGATAAACTAATATTATCAAGATAAATATTCGGAATTTGAAGAATGTGTTTTCTTGTGAAATTAATAACTTTACTTTTTTCCGGAGCAGATTCAAAAAAAGATAACTGAAGAGACGTAGAGAGAGTTTGGAGAGCAATATTAATGTTAGAGGTAGCAATCTCAAGTGATTTATGGGAAGAAAAAATGATAATGTCATCGGCGTAAAATAAACTCGAATGATTGTTGGATGATGAAAGAGCGATGCTTATATCTGCAGTATAAATGTTAAAAAGAATTGGACTGAGACAACTACCTTGAGAAAGTCCTCTATAAGTGGTTCGATAACAGGTAGAGCCAAATGGGGAGTTAAAATGGAGATTACGACAATAAAATAAAGAAAATATAAATTTACACATCACAATAGGAATATTGAGGGAAAGAAGACGAGAAATAAGTAAAGGTATATGAACAGAATCAAAAGCACCACGAATATCTACAAAGGCAGCTGCAGTAAAAAAGCGGTTACAAAACGAATGATAAACAGACCCAACTAAGGAAGATAAACATTCCATAGTGCATACACTGCGTCGAAAGCCAAACATGTTATTTGGTAATAGAGAATTGGCTTCAAGAAACCAATCGAGGCGAGTTTTTAAAATAAACTCAGTTATTTTGCATAAGGAAGAAGAAAGAGCAATAGGACGGTATGCAGGGCTTGAAGCACAACTATTAGGAATAGGAATGACTTTAAAGGATTTCCAGGATTCAGGGATGATATTATTAAACCATAAATCATTTAAAATAGATAAGAGTATATCAAATGCTTTAATTGGAAGGTGTTTGAGCATTAAAGGAGAAATACTATCTAAGCCAACTGCAGAGGACTTTCTAGAGAAAATAGCTAAGGAGAGTTCATAACGATTGAAAGGGGATGAAAGGAAGTTGGTATTATTATGCGGCACATGAGTTGCAAAATATGAATTAGATTCATCAAGATTAGGAACGTATGGTGGTGCCACTTTATCGCAAAAGTTGTCAAACCAGTTATTATTGGTAGCTGATACGGGGCGGATTATACATTTTTTAAACTTTTTAGCTAAGGCCTGTTGCGGTTAATGATTTTTACCGCACTCGAGTGGGGCTATAGCACTAGCGAAAAAGAAACACAACACCTTTTTTTTCTACGGTTCAAAGTAACGTTGTATGCTTTATTTGATATTGAACAAACTTTTGATTGATTTACATAAAGTTTCTAACAGAAACAAAACACCGTAAACAGTTTTACGGAAAATATATATACAGGTGTGTACGCGAAGACAATATCGTAACGGCGTGTTCGGCGAGCGATCCAATCAGTCTCGTGTCACGGAGATTACTTAACGTATATTTGCGGCGGGTCGTAGATGGACGTGCGGCACTTGCTGGACTTTGTACCGTGGCGTATCGCACGCGGTGTTAGTCAGTCAAACTACCATATGCACGTAGTAGGGCGGCGGCTGATAAAGGTGTCACGGGTAGCGGGGCTCCGTGTATAGAGAACGACGCGGGACCGTGTCAGGCCCAAAATTCAGAGATAGACGAGGAAGGATGTATCTTAGAGCACATATTAACCCATGAGTCTTTCTTAGCTTTTTTCAAAACTTTGGTGATATTTGATAAAGATTTTTGATACAACATAAAGTCATAAAGAGAGCCTGACGCTCTATATTTTTTGAAATAAAAGGATCTGGTTTTGACTGTTATTGTGCAGGAAGAATTCCACCAAGGGGGAGAAGAACTAAAACGTTTATTAGACGAACGTTTGGTAAAATATCAACAAAGTTATTGTAGTTATCAATAGGAGAAGATGATAGAGACCACGAATCAAGAAAGGTACCGATAAAAAGAGAAAAAGTAGTCCAGTCAACTGAGTTTAAATTAAACGAGAAACTATTAGGATTGTCAGGAAGCGAGTTATTGTCAATATGACCTGAGGAATGAGTTAATTTTCCGGAAAGAAAAATTACTTAGTTTTAATGTTTTTTCTTATGAGTGTAACAGTGGAAGGACTGATGTAAAAGACCGCATAATGTGCTAATTTACCATACATTAATAATACGCTCTTTAAGGGCGGAGTCAATATTTTAATAAAACATCAATAATATAAAATGTAATATACATATTATTTTAAAGATAGTAAAAAATATGATACTAAATAGCATATTATCAAACCTTTTATAAATTTGAGGTATGCCCAACATGTGATTACCATGTTACAATGATGATAAATATGCAGAAATGATACTTGTGATTGTTTCTTCCGCAGAACAAAAAACACCTGAACAAATTTTATTAAANTTAAAGGATTTCCAGGATTCAGGGATGATATTATTAAGCCATAAATCATTTAAAATAGATAAGAGTATATCAAATGCTTTAATTGGAAGGTGTTTGAGCATTAAAGGAGAAATACTATCTAAGCCAGCTGCAGAGGATTTTCTAGAGGAAATAGCTAAGGAGAGTTCATAACGACTGAAAGGGGATGAAAGGAAGTTAGTATTATTANCAATAATATAAAATGTAATATACATATTATTTTAAAGATAGTAAAAAATATGATACTAAATAGCATATTATCAAACCTTTTATAAATTTGAGGTATGCCCAACATGTGATTACCATGTTACAATGATGATAAATATGCAGAAATGATACTTGTGATTGTTTCTTCCGCAGAACAAAAAACACCTGAACAAATTTTATTAAATTAAAAATATACACATAGATTGATTTTTTATTTACTATTAGATTTTTCTTAAAATAATGTGAATTTTTTTCTCGATTTTTTTGACATCAATTATCTCTTGATTTACAATTGCTTATATAGTTAAAAAATTATAACAATTTATATGCTTAATAGAGAGAAGTCGCGACATATGAATGCTTAACAATACAAATAACATAACCCATACCTTGATCATAATCTCTAAATTAAACTGTTAATAACTTCCAAAGTACTGGTTAGAAAATATAAAAAAGTTGTATATTAACTGCTTGGCAAACGTGTATAAAAATTTAAAGGCTTAATGTGAGACTTTTCAGAAAATAGTTTTTCGTTAATTATGAATAAATACACTAAATAACTATGAATTTTCAACAGAGTCAAAAATATACTTTTCTAGATTAATTTTCGCAATGATTTCAAATCTCCAATTAGATTTTTACTATCACTTCTAATTTTTGATATTATTAATTATTTAAAAGAAAGTATGAACATATAAAAAATATTGGTTAAAATGAAATTCACAATGAAAATACATAAGTGGACAAATCATAGGTAAAACTAGGCACAACATATTTCTGAATATCAGTATATTATAGAATACTGTAGGATATGACTATATGGAATAGTTCAATTGTAGCATCTATTAAAACGCCAAGAGTTACATAGAAATAATTGTTATAATTTTTATTGACATTATCTATTACAATTATCATGCAAAAAAAATAGTAATTTTAACGAAATTTAAAGCTCTTCTGCAAATTTTTTCTAAATGCAAATCTGTAAATAGTGTTTAAATTAAAAAAAAAAAATTTGTCAAAATAGTAGGTCAAGTGAAAGCTGAGAAAATAAATAATAGCTACAAAAAAAAACCACATAGTAAAATAATATTAATATGAATTTCTTCTCACGAAAGAAGACTACAGTAATGGGATCCTTGATATTTATTGAAGTTATTTAATCTAAATGAAATAAAAATCAAATGAGTTAAACATTTTTTTCTAACTCAAAAAGAATTAAGAAAAAATGAAGTGCCACAGTGTTACCGTCTCAGAAATCATACTTCGCATTCGTGACTTAATAAAAATGGAAATTTAGCTAGTTCAAATCTTAAAGTTATATTTCTCGACTTCAAAGAAACAAAATAATTTAAATACGTTTAACTTTTTATACTATGTCAATTAGATTGATATAATATTTATGAAAATCAGTGTAATCCCCTTATAATAAAATAAAATACAAAACCAAGAATTTTAACACAAAAATATCATATTTATTAATACGGTAGCTATTTTCACCACGAAGACAAAATAAAGTCCGACATTTTTTTTTTTTAATATTAAAGTATATTACATAAGCATTTATTTAAGATATATATATAAATGTTTCAGTATTTCCAGAACACATTCAAAAATTAAGTTGAAAAAGTACTACTTTCTATGATTTGAACCCCCCCTGTATGGTCCGATTTAAAAAAAGTATGTCGAATGAATGAAGTATATAAATATTATTTCATATAAAAAAACTGTATTGATTCATACATTTTTCAAAAAGTTATATAAATTTAAGATATATTTAAAAGTGTCAGTATTTCTGAAACACTTTCAAAAGTTAAGCTGAAAAAGTTAATTTTTTGTGAAAAAGTTGTCATTTTGAATCCCCTCCTGTGGGTAAGTAAAGATCAAAATTATAAAAAAAATATTCGAAATGATAGTTAAATATCTCATGTATCTATAAAAAAAAATTATATCGATGTTGTAGTTTTTGAAAATTTATGGCAGATTTAAGTAAAAAAAATTGAAAAAATGTCGAATATTTAAAGTGATTTTTAAATTTGTAATTTTTATGGAGGTTTTCCCCATTTACGGGGAACGAGGGAAATTTTTTCAATTTTTGAGGGTAATGTCTGCGACTAGATACGATTTGTGATCTTTTGACATATCGTTGAAAGAAATCGGTTCCGTGAGAGCTGAGAAAGAGTGGTAACAGACAAAAAAAAAACACATCATAGTAAAATTAATACCTTCTCAGCTTCGCATCGAAGCTAAAAAGTGATGGAAAAAATCTAAATGCAGATTTTAAATCAGCGCAAATATTTGGTTTAGCTAAGTATATTTTCGTCGAATTTGTCACAACATTTTATAAAATGAATTACTTACGGTATCAGTGAGATCCATTAACTTTGATATGAAGAAATACCAGGATCCTTTATTAAGCTAAAAAAAAAATTAAAAATAACCTCTATTAGAACAATTGATTTGTTAAAAATAACATGTAAATTAACTTTGAATTAAAAATACGGTACATATAAATCAATTTTAATAGTGACGAAAGTTCAATAAAATACTATGCGATCCGTTTATCAAACCCAATCAATTACACACAAAATAAAAATAATTTCAAGAATATTTTTTTTTTAGTTACATACTCGTATACATACAGAGTATTTAAAAAGTAAAGAAGCGGTTCAAAAAATGATATAAAAAATGTTTTGACAAGCTGTGTCCGTACAANTTTGTTACAAACTATGAGAACGATAGAATTTCGTTTACATATTTACTGAACACTTTGTATATGTAATTCACAAAATGAACGAAAAAGAAACTCATTTTTTTAGAGACTATTGAGAATTTCAAATATTATTAAAGAGAAAAAATATCAAGTTCAAAAAACTCTACTTTATTATGTAGTCACACCATTATTTTTTTTGTTCCTTCAAGGATAGAAACCCTTATTTATAATTTTATAATATGATAAAAAAAAAATTACAAACAATGTTGTTCTTATAATTTTTTTTATCCGATTAACCGTTCGTCCGTTACAGCTTGTTAAAGTTAAGTGATTTTAGGCCAAATTTCTCTTGTCATTTTACTGTATTAAATACAGAAGTCACTATTTTTATTTTCTGTTATATAAACCAAATTTTATTGATCAAGTTATGATAGGTAAATTAGCTATAAATATTTACAACGCACTAAAAGAGTGATAACAATAATAGATTCAAACCGGGTTTTCGGTGTATTATTAATAGCTAAGTCTATGGTTTTGTAAGACTAAAGGATCTAACAAAAATACCGGTTGCATTGCCACCGATATTATAAAACGTAAACGGTTGTTCGGCTAAAAAAAAATTATAAAAACAAAATTGTTTGTATTTTTTTTTCTATCATATTATCAAATCAAAAATATTGAGTATTATAAACTTAATAATATTTCTTTTTACAAAAATTTTAAATTTTCAATAGTTTCTGAGAAAATAAGTGTCTTACCAGATTTCGATTACTCTGTATATATATAAGCAAGTGGTTCATGTACAAAAATTTATCTTTAGACCATCATCCAGTCTATATTATTATCAAAAATGATATAAAAAATGTTTTGACAAGCTGTGTCCGTACAAACCACTTACCTTAAAATAAATTTCAACAATTATCAAGAAAAATTAAATAAATTATATGTTACGACTAGATGTTGACAATCAATATTAATAAATATACAATACTATTAAGATCACGAATTGTATTTAACAAAATAAACATAATAACAACAGTGCCATTTATTAATAATAAAATAATCCTAATCGGACTAATTCTATAATAAATAAATGTTATCAAATGTAAATTCGCAGAAAAATAATATATAGTTGTAAAAGTATTCTTTTAATGTCAATATTCTTAATGTCAATTTTAAACTTTCAAGTTAAGATAAAATGCTCAACCTTTTTTTTATTATAAACTTTCCTAAAAATCAATTTTAAAGAATCAAAAAATAAGTTTAACTTATTTTTTTACATGTTTTATTATGTTTAACTTTAATTATTAAATCTTTAAAAAATATAAAATATTTTAGCTTTTACAATATTTTTAGAAAAACAGAAAATAAAATTTGCATACAGTACAAAAAAAAATAGTTTTTAAGGAAATTTAAAAAATATTAGTGTACTTTATAGTTTACTGGAATTTGTTTTAGCCATTATGTTAATATTGTAATAATAATGGTACATTGATGATAATTATTGAAAAATATCCATGAAGGTCTTAAAAAATAAAATACTACATGAAAATTTAAGGATTTAAAAATTATTAGTTCTGTCCAATTTGTGTATTTTTTAAGTGATAACTATACAAGTTAATAACTAATAGAGGGTTAACTTCTTCTAACGCCGGGGGTTAGTAATTAAAGATTTTTATAGCCAGTTGACATGACCGTGTTCTTTACCATCGCACTGATCTGTATATCACTCGAGTTAAGATAGTATCACACCGACTATGTTGTATTTCTTTAAACCGCCTACTAGGCAAATCTCGAAATGTCTTATCACTAACTGGCATGTGCCGGCTATTATTAAAAAATTAATTATATTATAGCTTTAAAAAATAAAATTTATTTTAGTTTAATTCTACTTTAATTACGTTGTCGTTGGCCTACCGCTACCACAACATGATATATATAATATACGATAGTATTCCTAAAAAAATGTAAAAAATTATACAAAATGAATTCAGGCGATAATGGCGAAAGATTAGCGACTTTAAAAAAACGGTGATTAGTAGCACATGCATTTTTCACAAAAAAAACCATATACAGACCTGGATATCGCCAAGGGGAAATACATATAATAAGATAGACCTTATGATAGTAGATAATTAAATAAAACACTGGATTCAGGACGTAAGACGTTGTAGAGAAGTTAGATCACACTCAGAACTCTTCTTAGTTAGGATGAGATTGACACAGCCTCAGCGTTGTCACCCGTGTGACACCTCGCGATCGTGCCAGTTCCTTCTCAGTCACCGCTCCACTATAAACCGTACCTTTACACACACGCGTTATCATCGTATTGTAAAATTCAACAAAGTCCTAGTGTCAAATACCCGGCGCAATTCGCGTGAGGCAGTCATCTCAGTGACATCCTAAAGAATCGCATCGTTTCATCTGACGTATCTTTCAACCGAATATATCGACGCGACTACGAACAGCAGACATCGTTTGTACGAAATCTATACTTACATTTTATTTGTTGTATTTTTCATGTGCATCTTAACTACTCACAATTAACTTTAAATAAACACCACGATCCAACGAATCTAAATTGTGTCGTCTACGTTAATTCAACGCAGCACCTAATCTGACTACTGAGAGAACAGACAGAAAATTATTTTTATTAAAATAGAGAATTGGAGTATGTAAAAGAAGTATGGATTATAGAAAGGAAGTTAGAGAAATGGAATACATCAATTATTTGTCCTATTTATAAAAAAGGAGATGCAATAGATTATGGTTTATAGACCATACGTGGCAGATATTATAGATTATAGACAAAAGTGGTTTCTTAGAGTAAAGATCGATGATTTATTATATATTCACGAGAAATAATATGAATTCAATAATAAATTGTAAATACTATTTGTGGATTTTAGATAAGTGCATGACTGGGTAAAAAGAAAATCATCACGGAAATATCTAAAAAAATTTGGTATACCCGCCAAATTAAGAGTAATAATCAAAATTTGTATAGAAAAAAAGATTCAAAGCAAAATTCGGACAAATATACTCAGTAGAGTTTAAAACCACCATTAGACTAAAGCAAAGTCATACACGTTGCCCCACGATCCGCACCATCGCTATCATACGTCGCCCTACTAAGAGTATTTGACTAACCAACACCGCGTGCCAAACGCCACGATGTAAAATGGCGCAAGACCAAAGACAATCCTCCGCAAATGTTACGTTGAGCCTTCATCCCGTTGTCAATGTGTTATCGTCGAGGATGTACCGGACTCGACGAACCAATCAGCACTCGCGCACTATTTCCATCAACGTTGCTAACTTTTTGACGCCGAAGATTATGCCGGACACCACGTCGCCGACGCCAGTGAACGTGCCGCGATTTATGCGAAGATTATTATTAACTATGTTTGTCATTTCGCTTTGTTTGTTTTTTTAAATAATCTGTTGTCTGTAAGACATGTCAAAGATTAGGGTTAACACATTGACATACAAACGTTAATTGATTGTCTGTACTAGAAAACATAGTATTTTCCGCTGTTGAAATAGACGTCGTATTCTATCGGACTTTTATTAAAGACAAGCGAAGCTCAACTCTAGATTAGACAATATATAAAGTTTCCACTACGCTACATTACGCACCTTAATTTTTAATTATAATTGTAAAATATCTTACCTCAAGCAAAAGAAAATTGTTTAAGTTTCTTGGTATTGGATGGCATAAATTATTAAAATGATGAGTGATTGCTCCGGGTGTTGTAAAAAGCTATAAAAAAAATATAAACATATGCTTAGACTGAAAAAGAACTCAGAAAATAAACAAATTAATCCTTATTATTTAACTGACACTAATACCTCGTTGACAAAACATAATTTTTTGTGAGAACAATATATAATTTATTAACCAAAAAAATAATTTGTTTAAATTTCAATATAATTGATTAAAAAATAAAAACATTATTGGCTTAATTTTTTTTCAGTGTAAATATAAAAACCCAACACAGTGGATAGTAATTTATCTATTCTATTGGCTGGCAGCAATTGAATAAGAGAGGTACAGGTAATGCTGCCCATCGGTTAAAACCGCCCACCTTGATATTTCGACTTAAGCTAATTATAATTATTTAACTTGATATTGTAAAAATCTAATTTATGATTCATTTTAAGATATTCTATATCAATGCTAATTTTTTTTAGTTTGTACCAAGCATTAATGATCAAAATTTTATTGGTGTTTCATCTAATAATTTATCAGGTAAATTAAAATATTTAACTAATCTATGGCAATTATTCTGATATTAATCTGTATTTTATGAAAAATTGAGGTACTCTTTTTAAAATAATATCATTATTTAACACCTCTTATCATTAATTAATGAATAATTAAAAATCTCATAAGAAATTTAAAATCAGCTCATTACATTCACGGTTATATCTTGTTATATCAGTTTTTAATTTAATAAAAAAGTAAACCAACATACCAAATAAAAAGTTTTTAAAAATAATTTAATGTTAGCAACAATGAGTTTAAAAAAAATTGTATATATCATCATTCTTATAGAAAGCGGTGCTATCCTTTTATGCTGGTAATTCCACCCAAAATTGTTTTTTAAAAAATAATGTGTTATTTTGCATAACTTCATTTTAAATTTTATAGATTTTATAGTCAATTTTTTTATGTGATTTTTCATTACACGTATCTCCACTAAAATAAAAATAAAAATTATGATTAATAAAACAACCGACAGTGTCTAAAACTAGTTTACCAGTATTCACAATAAATACTGAATTTCCAGGAAGAATTTTAGATACAAAAGCCCTATCGTTTTAATCTGACTATAGTTTATTAAATACTATAAATATTAATATAATACAATATATAATTTTAGCTTTGAATTTTCAGAAATTAATTTATTAACCTTTATTTAATGATTAATAATTTATTCAATTTGACTGAAAACTACTTGCTTTGCAGTATGCTACAGCTATCCTATAATAAAATATATGTAGATTTTTTAGTTTAAAGTAACTAGATAAGTTGCTCACTTATATGGTTAATTTTAACTACATAATTAGTGAATTAAAGCAGGTTTAGGATGATCATTAAAATGGATTATTTAAAAAAGAACTGTAAAAAACTTTCTAGAAGACTTAGCGTTCTGTAATTTATTAAAGTTATATTTTCCAAGTATTTAATTTTCGTATACTGTAAAAACATCTTATCTAAACAAATCACTTTTTGTCTCAATAAATGATTATCAATGGTGTTTTTAACGCCACCAATAAGTCTACATGAGAATTAGTTATTTTGTTGAGTAAGGAAAGTATAGAATATATTAAAAATTAAGTATGAGAAACCAAACCCAGGATGCCTAACAAATTAAAACAAAAATATGAAAAGAAATGATAAATGAAATTCATTTATAATGTTTATTTCATTAATAATTTATTTCTTAAGCAATTTGTTATGTCCAGTTTTCAAAAACGCTGTAAATAATGTTGGTATTCCTTATTATATTAAAGTTAACAATACTCAATGTTTTTTAAACACTTTTTGATTTATTGAATAATTATTAGTTTTTTACTATTACTAAAATTAGTAGTAGTTATTTAAAAATTAATAAAGAAAAAAATTAAAATAACTAATAGATTACTAAAAAATAGTAATTGATTATAATCAAGTATTTTATGAATCTCAATTGTATTTACTCAGTCACAAAATATTAAATTTTAATTGAAACAATGATATGAAAAAAATACATCACAATAACTAAATTTTTCATAAGGAAAAACCGTATAATCTTATGAAAAGAGACATTAAGTTTTTCATGTTAGTCCATTATAAAGATAAATTTGATTGAACCATTCCATCAGATTAGTAGAGCTTGTATTTACTACGTTAACCACATAAAAAGTGATTTTTTTAAACCTAGTATATTTTTATGTTAATACTTTAATTGGATTTCTTAAAAATTAACTAGTCATTTTTATAAATAACTAAATAGTCTTTATACGAATACTACATTAATCATAAATTAATACACAAGATGATTGTTTAAGTATGCCTCATACAATATGTTCAATATGGATTGTTCTAAAACAACTTTTGTACTAGTGTTTTTAAAGAAATTAACATTTCTAAATGATGGCGGGGGTGAGGCGCAAATCAAATTAAAGTTCTAATCAATCGTTCTGCGTCGCGCTATTACTGTCTAGATATTAAATTATTTGAATTATTTAGATTATAGTTTGGTTTGGTTCGACCCAAACAAATTGCATATCCTCAAAAAAATACAACATTATATCCAAAAAAACTATTTTTTTAGCAAAATAACAAATATTTTAATCTAGTTAGTAATATAAAGTATGACCGAATAAAGCCACTTCCGTAAAAATTTACTATGTTGTGAATTTTAGAGATAACGTTAGCTCCCATTCGGGAATTCTGAGGTAACTTGTATCTAGTTGGTCATCAAATACAAAATTAACCTTTCACAGGAATAACCTCCATAAAACCGCCCCTGCCATAAGATAATACTATACTACAAATAATAGTTTCACTAAAAAGCAATGACATATTACATAATTGTATTATGTTCAAGCTATCCAGCTATCTCCAAAAGTCCAATACCTCCAAAGAGTACAATTTGTATTTTTATCATTATTAATAATTTTTACTTTTTAGTATTACATAATGTAGTCTATAAATTACAATTAGTGAACAATAACTTAATTTATTAAAAATAAATCCCTAAGATACTTAATAAATTTAATTAGTGTAACAGAAAAAAAGCTAACAAATTAAGTTAAATTATTAAACTTAACATGTAAATATTAATGTGTTAATGTCTAGCTTTGTATAATTTTAAAATATAATAATGTTAACTGACAAAAAGTATAAAATATCACTAACCAGTGAAACTATGTAACCATTAAAGGCAATTTGAATAATATTATATAGCAGCATTGGGTACTTTAAATTAATTGGATTTCGATTTTTCATCATTTCTGGGCCAACTTTCAACACAAATAGTAAATAAATAATTATAATTGAAAATACTGGTATTGATGAGCTCATGAACATCCAAGAATCGACTTCATCATCTGTAAACAAAATTCATTTTAATATATGTATTTAATGTTCGCACCTGTAATGTTATTACATTAAAATATTTTAATAATATCACACTAAAAATATATTGCAAAATCAAATAAAACAAGCAATGAGTTAATTGTTATGTATTGAGTACGGAAACTCTAAAATGGGGCTTCAAAAAATTTTAATGAACTTGGCAACTATAGAATCCCACCTGTTATCATCAAGCAAAGACAGCGGTGATGCTGAGCACATCTTTGCATTAATTCATTTACAGGTGTGCTTTTATCGGACCAAGGGATGTTTTAAGTTATAATAAATGTTTTCTCATCAACCTATTTCTGATGAATTATTATTCTATATTGCTGTTTAACATATAGTCGAAAAAATCAAACAATTCAATCTTCACTTGCGATTCACCGTGTCCAAAATGCGGTAATTTTTAAGTACTCTCTTTTTTCCCTATTAACATTATATTTCACTTTTTTTTTTAATACGTATTCTAATTAATTTGAATTCATAATCACATTAATATTTAAATATAACTTCTTCTTTGTATTTTATCTCTATANTTTTAAATATTACTTTTTCTTTGTATTTTATCTGTATACAGTACATTAAATTTATCCTATTTTACATTTTCAATCCGCATCCATGCAATGGTAATATACAATTAAACTACGCACATAACAGTTTTCAATAAGACAACACAAACAAAAATTTTTGTTAAATATCAATGTTGAAAAAGAGTGAAGTATTGCATCAGGACTGACAATTATCCATTGACTATACCATACTGACACAATAATTTATATTGGCTAGGATTTTGTTTTAGTACTAATCCAGTATTTGCAGTCAGTACTTGAGTGTCATTGCTGAAAGAGTCATGGCGTAATATTGATTGTGTCCAAACATACAGTACTAATTTACCAGTATGGAAAAGCATTATTATTATTCNCCAGTATGGAAAATCATTATTATTATTCCAGATTTATGTAAGTATTCGTCCAATGCTGGTAGCCGCTACTGCACCTGTTGTTAATATCTGATTGGCATAGAGAAAAAGGACAGTAGGTTATACATTTTGGACCTTCGAACCAGATAATTAAAATAGTCATCATTTTGAAAAAAACACAAAAGCTGAAATCATAGAAAAGAACAAGCAACTTCTCATCACGCGCTTATAACGTGACTGCGTTTTGAAATCAATCAAGGAAATCCACACTATTGCAAAAAAGGTGAAGATTTACCACTACAGTTAGAGTTGGAAATACAATCACTAACTTGACTTATTTGCCAGATTATTAAGCATCAGATTGTAGCTTTAGTCGACCTTAATAAGGTAGAAGAATATTGTTTGACACGGCACCGCCCTACGCTCGAGACTGGCGATCACTCGTGTCTCTCTCGATATCAGCCGTCCAGCTATTAATATGACAATCGGTTGTCATCGGGTGTCTCCTCGCCCTTGACACCGTGACAAGGCCGCCGCCGAATATGGATTACTGATAATGCGTTCTGTTCCGTTTCCGACATACACCTTAGCTGGTTGCTCCACTTGGTTCTTTAGCCTATACTGTTTTTTTGTTCGTGTTTCAAATTTTGTTTGTGTTTCAAATTTTGTTTATTTTATGTAATCTTGCCAACGATATGCATCCGTGCAACGATATAATTATGTTTATATTTACATATTATAATTATATAGAAGTATCACCCGTACGTCAGGGACACTCGAATACACGATAGTATATACAATACTTGTACGTGCTATTATTGCCATTATTATTATTATTATACCTATTAACTCATACCTGTGCATCGATATAATTGTGTTTGTATTTATATATTATATATTAATATGCTCACCCCATACTAATTCATTCTGCAATAGATCATTTAATGTACGTCTAATATCTCCTGTGAAGTTCAATTTTAATCCTTCATCAACATTCATCATGTAAGAAGTCATGTTTACCTAGTTTATAATTAAAAAAATTGTCTAAATTCATTGATATTTAAATTAAAACGTATACTTAAATATAAAAATATTTTAACTCTGTATAAAAACAGAGAAAAGAAAATAACTAGGAGAAGTGCATAAGAATCACTAAGAATATAAGATAATAATAAAATTAGGTTTGAGACATCTTGCATTTGGAACGTTGCAAAATTCTTCATATAATTCAGCTTTAAATTAAAATGAAAAAATGTAATTAAATATGTTTACAAGATATATATTAACAAAAAACTAGCCAATGGTAATTAGATTCAAAATTAATTAGCTATGTCAAATCTTCGTGAATCACCCTATAAGTACCTCATAAGTTATTATAATAACCTGTAATTAATTAAAATAAAATATTTTTCATGTAATTAGTAATCAACCTTGAAAACCTAGACGAAAAATAAGTTTAACTTAGCCCAACTATAGGGTATATCCTAAAACAGTCTTAATTTTTGAGGACAAAATAGTTTAATTTTGTGGAAAAAGATTTTTTTAAATAATGCGATTTAAACGAAAAAAAAATTTATTCTAAATCAATAGGTTATGATATTTCATTGCACTAAAAAAAGGGTATTTTTATGAGTAGTTTAATTTTTAATTTAAGAATTGTACCAGGATTAAAAAGTTTTAATGCATATTGTACTCATTATGTTTTTTATCAGAATATTAATCACAAAATCCAATCGTAGACATTAAGTTACTGTTTAAGCTATTTTGTATCTTTTACAGCAATACTACACATCTCAAAATTTNGAACGAGGGAAAATTTTTAAATTTTTAAGGGTAATGTCTTCAACTAGATACAATTTGTGATCTTTTGACGTATTGTTAAAAGAAATCGGTCCAGTGAGAGCTGAGAAAAAGTAGTGACAGACACAAAAAAATAAAAAAAAAAATAAACACATCATGGTAAAATTAATACCTTCTCAGCTTCGCATCGAAGCTAAAATAAACACATCATGATAAAATTAATACCTTCTCAGCTTCGCATCGAAGCTAAAACTAGATCTTAGTATTTAGTTTTCATCATTTATTTTTAAGGAACCGTTTTAATAATTTTGTTCTCAGAACGGAACATACTATTTCAGTACGTTTTCTTTTTTGAAATAAAATACTAAATATTTTCTTCATGAAGACTTCTAAAAATACTGATTAAAAAAAATATTTACAAAATTAAAAAAAAGCAAACCGAATGGAATATACCTAGGAAATTAACAATTAGTCGTTACGCGATAACTTTTTTATTAATCAATAATAATTTAATTTATTTCCTATTGTCGATGTATAAACTTTTACATACATACTTTAACTTTTTGGGGTAGAGTTGTCTCTTAAGTTTATTATGGTGAATAGGCTCGTAAATAAATTAGTTTTAGTTATATTTCCCCAATCATGGAATGGAATTTGACGATACTATCATGGTTATGTTAAATATTTCTCTAAAACAATATATATTTATATTAAATAATATACACATTTATTTAATGTTTTTATTTTTCAATTTTATATATTTTTTAGCTTCAATATTAAGTTAACAAACTATTTTATATCCATTTTAACATCAAATTTCTATTATATACTAAAAAATGTATTATTACTGTTACATATTAATTAAAAAAGCTGAACCTTAGTCAACACAATTAGTGTTAATTTTCCAAGGCTAAAGTTGTTTACATATTTATACCTAGCGCAATATAAATAATAATATAAAAGAATTAACTATAAAATAAAAACATGTTTCATAATTGATGTAAGAATCATTTAAAATATAATAAATAATTACTATTTTTATTTTAATTGAACGATAACCTTTCAAAAAATGATTTCCGGGGTGAACAGGATTGTAAATTAATAATTTGATTTTAACGCTCTATCTAATTAATCAAATTGGTGTAAATTTATTTCACAAATATATTCATGTATAAAAAATATATGTATAATAAAAAATACAAAATTAAAAAAGTATCATTAATAGTATCAAAATGTGCTAAAAGAAAAATAAATATATATGATGATGTATAATTTAGTGATTATAAGGTAATAAAGTCTTAGTAATAAGGTTATGATAAATGTATCACTATGTATTATCACTGCTTATTCCTTCATATGTAATTTTAGTTATCAAATTTTTCATAGTAATTTAGAAATTGAGAAATCATGATTACTTAATTTGTTTGTACTAGAAAAATACAATAAAAGCACATTTTTATTGTATACAGTGTGAAATTCACAGACTGTTTTGTGTCCGTCAAGTGACTATAATTATTGTTCATAATATAATCTTCCAGCAATATAAATAAATCGCATCACGTCAAAAAAAAATGTAAGTTATCTATGTACTTATATAAAATTAGTTAAAATACTTTGATAGAAAATTAGGTACAAATAAATAAAAATTGGGACTAATAAGACCAAGTTAAGAACTTAATGACCCATGTTTAAAAAGATAAACAATAATATGGGGTTAAAGTGGTTGACAAAATGACCTACTTATATATATATACATCATTTAAAATTCAAATATGTGAATGCCAGAATAATAGGTCTTTTTAAAAATAGTGAACTTAAAAAGAAATCATAATTTATTTATTTATTTTAATGAACTGATAACGAATGAATAAATTATTTTTTTTTTAAGTAACCGGAACCACTTAATTTTTTTAACTGTGAACACGTTAAAAAAACTGATTGTTTTATTATAGAATATTATAATTTATTAGAATATTTATAGATATATCCATGTCTTTTGTTTTGTGCTGAACTTTTAAACTCGTTACAAATATTATCATTGAAGCGACAGTTATGGGCCCGAGGATGTATCTATACTATCCTAATACGCCAGCATAAAAATGAAAACATTAATATATTTATGAACATTGTAATTATTGGTTTTTTTATTATTTTTATTTTTTTTACAAAATAAAATATAAAAAATTTTTTTTAAAGAATTTATTTCTGCTATCACTTATAATTATTATATTTTATTAATTTATTTATGATATTCTAATAAAATTACCCCAAACAGGACCACGTCGCTAGGTTTATTAAATGTGAAAAAAACAAACCTGGCTTTTTAATTTATACAACGCTTTAATATAATTCATTTTAAATAATGTTAAATGTATTTTAATTTGTAACTATTTATTAATATAATTCTTGTATAAAAAATTGAGATGGCACAGGCTGTCCCGTCTATTATTTCATATATCCCATTTATAATTAGTTGTTCTGGACAGCCAACAATAAAGCCATTACTTTTAAAACATTGGTGGTTAAATTAGTCAGATCATGCCCGGCTATAAATTGTATATACTTATAGTACAAATAAAAATTTATAAAAAATAACGTAACACTTAGATGCACGTGTTCTAATTATTCATGAATATAGTGAATTAAAATTAAAACATATTGCAACCTAGTTTTTCTTTTAAGTAAATGCATGTCATTTAACTATTCATTTGTATTTTTGTATAATCGACGTAAATACATTAATAAGCCATTGATTTCATAATATTAATTTATAAAACTTGATAAACAACATTTAAAGCCGTAATATAATAACAAAATAGGTTTATGTATATATAAATGTTCTGTTATTGGCAAAAAATATTACCATGATAATATTGCCAAGTTCTTTTAAAATATTACATTATTATATTATAAATTATTATACTACTTTTGTAGTAACTATAGAGTTGCTACTTTTGTTTATTGTTAATATTAAATATAATTTTATTAAATATTTAAAAAATACTATTATTGTTAACATTTTTCTCGATCTTTAATTATAAAGTAATTTTTATGTAAGGGTGTCAACATAATTTTTTTTTAATGAAACTTACATAATTGACAAGTTTAGTTAATAGATAGTTATTTATTTAAGAAATTTATCGATTGATAACAACTTTTGTTATCAAAAGTTATGTTACATTTATCTTAATTNTTTATTGATTGATAACAACTTTTGTTATCAAAAGTTATGTTACATTTATCTTAATGCATTTCTGTGCCCCGCAACTTAAACCCTACCAAAGTATCAAAACATCCATAATTCCTGAACTATTAGTTAATTATGTATGTTCCCATTAAAAAAACAGAGTTGGTACTCGCATAAAGGAAAAGAGATGGACAAAATAATTATTTAAACTTTTAAAATGTGAAGAAAAATATTAATTCAATAAGCTAAAAAAACAAAATTTCAAAATTATTATATAAAAATAAATTTAATCAATCATCCAGTCTGAACCGTCCTATTTAACTTAGAATTATTTGTAGGGGAAGACATTATTCAAACATCGAGTAGGTTTTGAGTATTTTAATTTAATATGAAATTATTAAGTGTGTAGTCCACATATTTTTATTTTTACTTATGTGATCCCAATACTTAAACTTTTGTTAAGTATTTGAATACTAGTATTTAAATTCATTTGGAATGTATTTGTATAAAAATATTAAATAATTTTTAATGTAACATACAGCTAAATAGCTGCCTTAATTATTAAGACATCTTAAATAATGAAAATTATAATCTTTGTCAAAAAATATGTGTAAAATTTTGTGATATTTGAAAGCACTTACTAATAATTAAGCCAATAACANGTGATATTTGAAAGCACTTACTAATAATTAAGCCAATAACAGACCCCAAAGTTATGAATTATATTTAATATCAGTGTATGTTATCCGATCAACAAAAAAAAACTTGAAAACTTTTGAATAAATATCCAAATGTTTTTATGCTTCACAATACACTAATACTAAGTAGTACCCCAGATGTAGTCTTCAGTGTATGTAATGTCATTTTAATAAGTCTCATTTCTCTTCTTCGGAAAATGAGAAAGTCGTGTTTTTTAAATTAAACTAAATATTGCTATAAAGAATAAATAATTTCAAATTTTCAATGAAATGAATACATAGTTTTATTTTTATCGATAAATTTGGTATTTTTTAATTTCAAAGATAACAGTTATTTTGTTATGTATAAGGATAACTAAAGACTTATATTTCATAATTAATTAGTTTAATAGAATTTTAATTAACGATTAACTGTAATTTTTTGCGTATGAAAGTCTTTTATTTCTTTAAAAAAAAAATATTTGAAATACTTTTAAAAACTATTTGTATTTTCACTAAAATACTTTTCAATATTGGTATTCGAATTTGTATATTAAATACATTTTAAAAGTATTTTTAACAAGTCTGCTAATGTTGCACTAGTCTTTAGACGACTTATATTTCATAATTAATTAGTTTACTAAAATTTTAACTACGATTAACTGTAATTTTTTGTGCATGAAAATCTATTATTTCGTAAAAAAAAAGAATATTTGAAATACTGTTTTTTTATAAGAAAACTTTTCAATATTAGTATTCGAATTTGTATTTTGAATACATTTTAATAGTATTCACAACAAGCCCCCTAATATTTCACTAAATGCACACACAAAATTCAAATAATTTATAAAAATACAAGTGAAATAAAAGTCAATTATTTTTAATCAATATATTGATTACATTTTTAAAATTTATGTATATAAAAATATACAACCATGGATATCGAAATATTATTTAAAAATTGTTAGTTTTTTATTTATTTTTACTATATAATGTTTCGATAGGAATGACTATTTGCTTGTAGAAATTGAAATATTCTTATTTTATCAATTTTTAAAAATTACTTTTTATTACTGTGGTAGATTTTTATTTAGAAATTAGACCTTAATATCTAGGCTTAATATAAAATATTTCACCTATCTTAAAATTATAATACTTATTTCGGTATCAAATACAAAATAATAATACTCATTTAATTTTAAGTTCAAAAAACTGTAAAAGTTCTTTTATTTTCAGTGACTATATTGCTAATAAAATAATTTTATCTAATAAAAAAAGCTAATGAACTAAAAATTAGTTTTACACATACTGTTACTACTACTACTACGCAACATAACGGTGTCTCAACAACAAAACAAATAAATGTCGGTAAAATGTGACCAGACTTACTATCCCATGCAACTACTAATTGAATCATATTTTAGCTTGATTATAAATTCAAGATGCTATGGTGTTTTAAAGTTTGATTTTGTGAAAATTTGGGTATAAATTTATAGTTTTTTACACTTAAATGTAGAAAAATATTTCTGAATTAAGTCATTGTAAAATTTATTCAGATTAAAGATCAGATTTTCCAGTATTGTATTACCTTCTCCGTATTTGTAACTATCATGTGACATTCTATTATTATTATTTTTTACAGTTATGATAAAATCTAGGTAACTATAAATGCTTGCATACTCTCAAAAATCAAAAATACGCGTTATCAAAATAATTTTTAAGATCGGTTTCAAAATACTTAGATATAGGGACACCCTTTTTTTGGGGGTCAATTTTATAATTTTAATATGTGAAAGGTCAAGAGAAAACCAAGGTATG